ACTCAAGAGAGCTATCTCTAGACACACATATCTATATATATAGACTCATGTGTGACACAAGTTTTGTATATGTGTATGTATATATATATATATATATACAAACACTTTCTTGTTTTTCTATATATATATATATATATATATATATATATATATATATATATATATATATATATATATATATATATATATATATATATATATTAAATGTCATACTAATATAAGTTTATTATTGTTTTGTCACTACTATAACTCTTATCTAAAACAAATACGTTAGCATCTAATTCTAAAAATGTTAATGTATGTTATTTGGCCTCGAATTATTTCATTTTGGCTAAATTTATTCTAAAGAATTGAAAAACACTTTACATATGATAAGTTGTATTAAGAGCTGATAAGTAGTTGCGTCTTATTTTTGAAATTAATTTTTTAAGTGTTTGGATAAACCGTTTTTTACTCATTATAAATTTTTAGATTAAAAAATGGGGTAAATGTACTTTTTAAAAAACATTTTATTTGCCCTCGAGCGTCTTACTTTTTGAACTTTTAAAATCTATTTTAAAAAATTACCATACATTTGGAAAGGGCTTATAAGCTCTTTTTGATAGCTTATAAGCTATTTTTTATAGCTTATAAGCTTATCCAAACACATTGACGGATTAGAGTTGTTGAGGCATCTCTCTCCGACACGTATACAAGCTACAAAAAAGTGATTATTTGGAGGAGAACATGGGAAGATTCCTCGAATGTGCCTTGCTTAAGAAACTATTCTTCCACACTTTAATGAGATCGGAACCTTAAATTAATCATGATTAATTACATTTATTTAGTAAAATATTAAAGATACTCTTCCAAGTTCTGATGTATCCAAAGAAAATAATCATATTTAATTTAGTTTGAATTTGGTTTTATTAGGCAAACACTGTGTTAAGTACTCCAATCATCCTGGTTAGCAATAATACAACACAAGCTCCATTTCTAATTAGGGGTGCTAGTGGGTCGGGTGTACCCGGACCCAATTAACAGTGTAAACGAGTCGAACTTGGGTTCATTTAATATTTTTGATATTGTTTTAAACTTTTAATTAAGGTTTAGTATTATAAATCTTAAAAAAATTATTACAAAGAAGTGAATTACAAAATAAAAAAATAAACTTATATATATTTTTCTAGCTTTTTTATATGTACTTATTATATTATTATTATTTTACTACTATATATATATATATATATATATATATATATATATATATATATATATATATATATATATATATATATATATATATATATATATATATATATATATATATATATATATATATATATATATATATATATATATATATATATATATATATATATATATATATATATGTCTTTTATATGTCTTTTATTTTCATGGCGTTGTTTGCAGAAGATTATTAAAAAGTAAAAATTAGTAATTACGAGTTAAGTTGAGATTAAATGTTTATTTCTAAAAGTTCGGCATATTTACAAATTAGTTGGAAACCAACTTAAATAAAAAAAAATTAGGTATATGGGTGCTTTTATGAATATAACTTAAAATAATTTATTTTAAGAGAACTAAAAGTAAAAACTTGTTTTACAAACACCTAAAAAAGCAGATTATATGTAGAAAAAAACTGATAATTTATTTTTAAAAGTTTTTGCAATTGTAAATGTCAAATATGCATTTTTACTAGTTCAAATTTAATTATTATTTTTTAGGTTAAATATATGATTGATGATGTTGACTTAAAGAATTTAAATACTTGTGGTCGTGGTGTTATAATATAGATGTGATGCAATTGGGGGGAAATTATAATTCAATTATTGAATAAAACAAGGAATCAACTTTTTGTAATTGCATCACCCCTTACCCACCAATTTGTATTTTACTATTTTAAGTATTAAAAAATGGCAAAACAACTGCTCAAACTCATAGATGACATGTTCTTTTGTTCTTGTTCATATGTCATCTTACAACTCGAGTTCTTGTTTTTTTATCTAAAGAATTCTATTGGCCACCACTATTTTTTTCGGTTCTAAACGAACAAACCCGCAGTCGACTATATAAATGCATTGTGTAAACCCTCAGTCTCGTATAATTTGCAAATCATACGAGAGATATAAACCACACTATGCTAAGCATGTATGGCAAAAGCTCAACTTAGCAATCGTTTATGCAAGGGAATTCGAACTTGGTTCAATTGACACAAACTTTACTTACTCCAACCACTAATTTGGAATTTTCTTGCTTGTGATTTACCTTAATCTACCTTTTTGCAAGAAAGATTCGAACTTGGGTCAATTGACACAAAGTTCACTTGCTCCAATCACTAGTTTGAATTCTTCTTTCACCGGTTTACCTTAATCTACTATTTCTGCAAGCGGATTCGAACTTAGTTTAATTGGCACAATATTTACTTGTTGCAACCACTAATTTGGATTTTTCTTGCCGTGGTTTACCTCAATCTATTGCATGTCATGTCATAACCCAATCATTCTCTAATTATAGTCATTAATAAGCCTTTTTTTACAAGTGGAATATAGTGATATGGTTTTAAATTTTAATATTCCCTTAAGAAATCATTTATATTGTTAAATCTTTTCAAAATCAACTTAACCTTTGTTTAAAATACTAAATAACAACAAATCGATTGGGCCATTGTTATTTCATTCGAGGCTTAATCTTTTGGGAACCCACTTTAATGGGCCATCTTAACAGCTAATTACAGCACTTGCAAGCCCAATTTAAAGGATTGAATTCGGCCCAAATATCACTAACACTAATTTAATTTTTTAGCAATGAGGGGTTATTGAAAATAGATTAGTGGTTGATTATTTATTTTATCTCACTAACTCACTAACCCATTTTCTTTATGCTCGTTTGCTCGATTAGCATGTATAGGTCGTGGACGCGTCCTGGAGTCTGTAAAACAAGTGCGCGATGTTACTTTCATTCACGGATTTTTAGAAGAGAAAACTGACATCATTTTGAGAGAAGAGGAAGTTAGAATTAAGTTAGTTATCGATCTATTTTAGAATCTGTTGTAAGTACTCATCTTAAGTACATAGTTTTTGCGACTAAAGATCTGTGTCTTTGTACTGTACTGAAGAAGCTAGCTCGACTGTACGAAAGATCTGTATAACTTAATAGTAATATTAAAGCTAAATTATCTTTTGGGTAATTAGGAATTAATAAATCACTAATTTTATGTTTAAAATGAGAAGATTTTTTGGGCTGGACCAGTTTAAAGTTGTATAAAGAGAACCCAAATATCATATTAAAGCCCACACTAATCTCATCTTTTGTCATGGGCCAGCCCAAAAGAAAATAACATGAATTTAGGACAGCACTATATATTTCTTTGTGCAATAATTATGAATTAATTGGATTAATCAGTTATTTTATGGAATAATAAATTGATAAAACGCTGTTTATTGGTCAACAAATTATACCATAAATAAACCTTAAATATTACTCATTACCTACAAATTAAAATGAAAAATCAATAATTAATTAGGTCTTTGAACCAAGCTATATAAGACGTAATAGACAAGCATTTCTTTTTTCTTTTAATTTTATTATTACTACTAGTTATTAAAATTTCTCAGTAGACTTTTTCTTGTCAATTTCCCAACTACTATTCTTAAAGACCTACGCCATTTTTCATGGAAACATTAATATTTGGTAGACTAATATATTTTAATTTTGTTCATATTAATAACACGAAAAGCTTTTTAGCAATTTGAAATAGTATAGGATTATTTAAAAAGAAAATAACTCAATTTTCTTGAGCAATTTGACCCTCTTGGCATCCTTGTCAAACAAGTCACCCCCTATTTTTGTAATTGTAAGTTGCAACCATAACATTTATTATAAGATGTTTGATTAAAAATATTTGCTTCTTGCTTCGGTCAGATAAAATTAAAAAAGTATTATATATATATTCTTGATTTTTGAGTGACCTCTTCCTATATATCATTTCATATTTTATTGAACAATAAATACCAGATAATAGTCAAAGTTAGTTTGTTGTACCAAAAGGCGAATTCCTCGCCCCAAGGGCCCCATCCCTTGGCCCGACAAGGATTAATGGAGGATGTAAATCATGGTAACTCAACGGCCCGTTAAGGTAGCGGACCCGGACCTGATGCCCACAAGGAACCAACCCTTATTTGGAGTTGAAATTCCCACACTGCGGCTGCCAGGATTCGATCCTAGGACCTTGCACCAACTTACCACCTCCGGAACCAGTTGAGCTACAACCATGCGGGCGTCAAAGTTAGTTTGTTAATTAAATAAAGAGTAGATTACAATCATCTCTATAGGTATGGTCAAATTATGAAAAATTCCCTCATGTTTGAATAATTACAACCACCCACCAACTATACATTTTCTTACATGTGCATCTCACGGTTTCAAATTTAGTGGAATCTTCTAGATTATATGAAATATTCTTAATTTGTACCCGTTTTATCCCGTTCGAGCTCCACATTTTGAAGCAAGATGATCATAAGATGTGTATTTTGACTTGTATATATCAAATTGTGGTGCATTAAAAACTGTAATTTTTGCACAAAACGAGTACAAACTAGAAAATTTTTCTGCGAAATCTAGATGATTAATGGAGATGTAAGAAAATGCACCGTTGATGAGTAGATGTAATCATCCAAATAGTAGGGATTTTTTCATAGTTTGACCATACCTCCGGGCTGTTTGTAATTTACCCTTAAATAAATTACATCTCAAATGATTGTATTATGAGTGATACATGTTGAATAATAAATAAATTTATTTATTCTCCGAGTACGGATAAAACCATATTATTAGATATTTAAATCCTAATAAATTTGTGATTTTGTCAATGTGAGTTTTCATCATATTATATTCGATCAACATCACAAAATAAACTGCACCACCTCATCGTTTACATCTCCCATCCTTTAATTATAAAAGAAAAATAATAATAAGATAAAAATTAATTTCTGGTCCGAAAAATCAAAAGTACAAAAAGTCCAATCCTAGATCCGACGACCATATATTCCCGTCAACAACGGGAATGCCTTCATCCAACGGTTGATAATAAACGACCATTTTAGACGCATTGATCTTTTCATCTACGGTCCACATCAAGTACAGGTGGTCCCCACCCCCTTCGCTTTTCCAACATATAAATACACACATCCCCGCATTGAACTCGGTCCACTCTGAACAATTCTATAACTACTCTCTCTCTCTAAAAAGTAAAAACTTCTCTCTCTCTCTCTCACACACACACAAACACACACACTGCTTTTTTTTCCTCTTCCGAAATTTGAAAAATTGCGCACCTTTTTTTTGGCTTCTCCGCTTAATCCTGCGCACCGCCGGAGATGAAACCGGCATCGGAGAACGTGATAAGGATATCCAGGTACAGGAGGTTGTTCCACTAGTCGGAGGAAGGAAAGATCAAGCGGCGGAGAATGAAATTAGACAGCCTCGATCAGAAAATGGACGGCCAGAAAAGCCAGGCGAAGCTTACTAGGAACCACTCGTCACTCCTCCGTTCGTCTCCGACCATCCGCTCGTCAATCCAGAGCTTATCCTCCGTCAGCGAGATCGCACCCGACGAAGAAACCGAAGACCTAGAGGAGCAGAAGCTCCACAGCAAACCGGTCTCCCGCCCGGTTCGATTCGGTTCGCCGCATCTGGCACCGGTCATCGCAATCCTCATCCTATCCGTCTACACTCTCTTCGCATTTTTGAACCGGGACGAAATTCCGGCCTCGGAGAACCTGCTTCTAGCTCTAATTTTCGTCGCCGTTTTGCTATTCTACCTATCCAGAAACAAGGCTCTGGTGAGCAGGAATTTTAACTCCTTGAAACAAATTTGCGACGACTACGCCAAAAAATTGGGGATTTCCTGTTTCGCCTCCAAATCGCACTCGAAACCGGTGCAATGGTTCATCGGCGAGTCGAATCTGAGCAAATCGGACACCACGGAGAGGAGCGTGAGGAAGATTATAAGAGAAGGCGTGGAGTTCTACAGCAATGGCGATTTCTACGAGGGCGAGTTCCACAAAGGCGCGTGCAACGGCAGCGGGGTGTATAACTACTTCGTGAACGGTAGGTACGAAGGCGATTGGATCGATGGGAGATACGACGGTTACGGTATCGAAAGCTGGTCCAGGGGGAGCAGATACAGAGGGCAGTACAGGCAGGGTTTGAGGCATGGCTATGGTGTTTATAAGTTCTACACAGGGGATACATATTCTGGAGAATGGTGTAATGGGCAGAGTCATGGTGTTGGTGTGCAGACTTGTGCCGATAGAAGCTGTTACATTGGGGAATTCAAATGCGGAGTTAAACACGGGCTCGGCTGTTACCATTTCAGGTTCGATTTTCTCGAACATTTTGTTTTTCGTTAATTTGGATTTCGTATGAAAAATTGGCTATCTATCTTGAGATTAATGGTGTTAAATGAGGATGTAGTATTTGCGTATACATACTTGTGTGTCCGATTCGTTGATATCTGCTATCTAGATACTGATTGAAAATTTTGATGTTATGGTTATAATAGGAATGGAGATAGATATGCTGGGGAGTATTTCGGTGATCGAATCCACGGTTTTGGTGTTTATCACTTTGCGAACGGTCATTATTACGAAGGATCTTGGCATGAAGGACGTAAGCAAGGCTACGGGATGTACACTTTCCGAAACGGAGAGTCCAAATGTGGTGAATGGGATGATGGCAATATCAAGACTCGTCTCCCTCCTTTGACCGATTCAGTTCTTCGAGCAGTTCAGGTGACTAACTAATTTCATTTCTAGTTAAAGCCTTTAAACTGTGTCAGTTCTTCTAATCCTGTCTTGTTTCTAAACTCGTCATTTTTTGTTTTTGCAGGCTGCTAGAAAAACGGCGGAAAATGCGATACACCTCCGGCGAGTGGACGAGCAAGTGAGCAAGGCGGTGGTGGCTGCAAACAGAGCCGCCACTGCCGCCAGAGTTGCTGCTGTGAAAGCAGTTCAGAATCGGATCGACGGGAAAATTTGCCACACTAACTTCTGAGGCGAAAAGGGCGTAACCGTAAATTCACCGCATTTCGGTAACGATAGAATCGGACAGTCGTGGGACAACCCTGGTTATTGCTGAAAGCACACCGGTGGTCGGTCGAGAGAGTAATCTTGATTTGGTTTGAAGTTTGAAACCATTGTTGTAACTTGTACATATAGATCATGTATACATCTAGGGTGTGTAGATAAAAAAACCCGATCAACCTAACTCGTTGACTGCTTGACCGCTCGAATCGAGCCCATCTCTTCGGAGAAATGAAATATGATGATCTCAAAAGTTTAATAAATAATGGTAGTAGTTTAGTAGTAATATTGAGTTGGTCTGAATTTTCATTTACATTTGGAGACTCAATATTCAAGAAGAGGTCACTTTTCTGATCTACTAGTCCGCTTGCAATGATGCATGTTTTTTGTTAATATTTTTTTTGTTGGGGTTTAAAAGTAATTACTAATAACCATGGGGTTGTTATGTTATATATTGTTGTTGTTGCAATAATGAGGACCAAATTTATGATCCCATCTTCTCTCTGACACCATCATATATTTCTCATTATTACATTAGCATTTTACTGAATGATCAAATCTTCAAGAACCAGCAAAACCCTATTGTCATATTCTTTCTGAAATTATTATTAATAATAATTATTATTATTTGAAATTAATTACCTGCTGAAAATATTTATACAAGGGTGTGTTTGGTTGTTTTGAGAATTGGAAAGGGCATGGAAAAAAGGAGAATCCCATCAAAAATCTTGTGTTTGAAATGGATTGGTTCAATTATTGTGCAGCACTTTCTATGTAATAATAATTTGCTTTAATTCCCACTTGTTTTATTTCCTTGTATAACCAATTTTATTCTCTGAACAGACTTATCTAATCTTGTTAGATTTGTCATACTTCATAGATGGGAGATTCTAACAAGGAAGGTTGCTTTCAGTTTGATGTGATCTTCCCATTTTCCCATAAGCCCTTTTTTAAAGAAAAATTCAAATTCTGTTACAAACGAAAAAAAAAACACGAGAGGTCGTAGGATTTGAATCGTAAACTTTAAAGCAAATTGTAATAATCGAATTTAGATATCGGCTCTCTTAAGTATCTTAACGAGACAATGCAAGAAAACGACGAGATCAACTTCTTGAAAACATGCATGAATGGGAGGGTGGTGAAAAAGGAAAATTAAATCATTCACTTTATAAAGTTTTTAAAATTGGTCTTTAAGTTTTACCATGCATACATTTGACATGAATCATATAATTATCATCGATCTACGAGATGTTACACTTGGTGATTTTGGACCGTAGATATGTATATATAGCTACCCATTAAGAACACATATGCATATGTGTGAGTGGTATTATGTGTAGATCATGATTCAAGATCAGCCGATGTATTTCACAGAGTGCAGCATCCACAAAACCTAATCCATCATCAATCCCATCAAATGCAAATTTTATATATTACCTTATACATATATGATTCAAAATGTCCATGTGACATATCACAACTCACAAGGCAATGTAATTTCTTGCAACATCAAAACAAATATGTGTAATAATTTTTCTTACAATATGTGGTATCATTAAATTCATGTAAAAGCCACACACTCATGTGCCTTTACATCTTCAATTGTGTGAAGTTTTGTCATTGTTATAAATTTTAGGTTATGTATGCAACCACATGGTGTAGGAGTGGTGGGGTTTTCTTTGTGAAAAATCCCCCAACTTTAAATAAAAAAAATAAATAATAATAATTATTAATTTATTTAATTTTCTTGTTCAATGCATGCTTCCAAGCTCCACCTTCTTTCCCAATCCATGTTTCATGCAAAAAAAAGTTTCCAAGTAGAGGAAAAGGCAAAAAAACTTTTACTTAGCCCCATTTTTCTAATCAAAGCCTGTTTAGATTCTCCTTTGTTACTTTCTTTAATTTGCTTTTTACCCCCTAAGATTTAAATTTATTGCTCTCTTTTTTTTTTTACATCCAACCCCACTTCCCCACATGCATCTCCAAAGGCAAACAAAAAAGCACTGTTTAGTGAGATTATTTTACTAATCTTTTCTTGATTACAATATTAAGCATGTTTGACTGTTAAGATGTTGCATTGCAGGCTGATAAAGTGTGACATTGCATCAATTATGACCTTCTTTTTATTAACTAAGACTCTATAAAGTAGGAATCAACCAAAAGCTTTTGAGGTTTTACAGTAAATAATTACTATCGTGACTTGATTTTCAGAATATATCATACTTTTCAAGAAAAGTTTTTTTTTGGGAATAAATTTTATCTTATAAAATGGGTGAAATTCTCATTATTGGAATTATACACACACATAGTTGTAGTCTTGTAGAGACTACTAGCGGAGCTAAGATTTTAAGTCGGGGATAAATGTACTAAAACAATTCTGTAAGAGGGGCCGTTAGTATTAGTGTACACAATTTTTCTTTATATTTTTATATAAATGTGTGTATGATGTGATGAAAAGCTTGATAGAAAGTTCTTTTAAGCTATGATGAACGGAAACTCCTATACACACGCGTTTCCGTGTTTTGGAAATGTTTCGGAAATCGAAACGCCGTGACACATATCGGAAACATTTCGGGCCCCTTTTCGTGAAAGTTTAAAAGTCTTAGGGATTTTTCTGGTATTAATGAAAATATAGAGATGCGTTTCCGCTACAAAAAAAATTCAAGACCCGTTTTAAATAAAGACTCGAAATTGCATACGCTTAAAAAAAGGCAGCGACTATTTGCAAGACGAAATTTACTTAGTGCAAGACCAATTTAATTTTTTTTATTAAATTCAGTATAAAAAGACTATAATAACCTTAATAAAATACAAACAAAAAAAAATTATTTTATTAATTTTCTTTTGCAAGACCAATTTAAAAAAAAATTAATAAAACAAAAAGAAAAAAGAAATTGAATTGACAAAATCAAAACGAGGAGGGAAGATTGAAGAAAAAAAAAATCAACTGCAGCAAAAAACCGTTCGTCGCCCCGTCGCCGTCGCCCCGTCGTCGTCGCCGTCGCCGTTGAAGTCCACCGCCGTCGCCCGTCGCCGTTGAACTCCGTTGTTGCCCCAACCCCGCCGCAACAATCTCACGAAAAACAAGTAAAAATTACTTTTTGAATTAACTTTTTTTTGAGAAATAAATGTGATAACCATGATTTTATTGTTAGAATAATGAATTCAAGTCGTTTTAGAACATAGTTGATGATTCTAGGGTTTGATTGTAGCACTATTGTTGAAGGAGTTGCGGTTTTACAAAAATCGACCTGTACTTGTCGTTTTTTTGGAAAATTTTCGACACACAATTGTAACAGTGATAATTCGACACACTAGCGTCGAAATATCCGCTTAATATCGACACCAGAATGTCGATAATTTCAATATAATTCGACAGTTAATGAGTGTCGAATTATTTTGACATTTTCGACACTGCAGTGTCGATATAAAGCTGATATTTCGACCTGTACATGTCGATTTTTTTGTACGTGAAATGAGGTGCGAAAAACGAGAAAAACGATCACAAAGTACAATATTTCTTACCTCTTTGTGTTCTTCGACCTTAGAATCCTCCATATTTATGTCTTGTGTATCCATAATGTCCTTCTTTTCAAGTTTTAGTAAGATTTGAGGGTTTTATGTGATAAGGGTTTTGGAGAATATGGAAGATTTTTTTGTGGAAAAAAATGTGTAAAATGAGGGTGAAGAAGAAGATGTTGGTGTTTTGTTGGGTGAGTGAGTTCCCTCTCTTTTTTCTTTTTTTTTTTTTATTCTTTTTTTTGTATTTTTTTTTGGTCTTGCAATAGCAATTAACTTAATTTAAATTAATAATATCTAAATTATTATTGGGGTTATATTTGTAATTTCCAGTCTTGATCTTAGTAAATTTATTTATATTTTGGTCTTGCATGAAGTAAGGTCTTGCACTTAGTAATTTTCGTCTTGCAAATATCTGCAGCCTAAAAAAAATCTTAAATTTTATGTATATTTTTCACTTCTAATGGTGTTTTAATATTTTTTGTAGATGTTGATTCCATGCTAAAACAGATTAAAATGTCCCAACTTTCAAATGTAATTGGTGGAATGATAATTGCGATTGAAACTTGTAAATTATATATAATTTGTAAATACAAATATGTAATATAATTGACGAAAAGTATATAAGTACCGTTATAATATTTTTTTGAAATGAAGGATGTATTTTTAATACTTACACATTTTCCCCACATTCTCGTATCCAACTTTTAGAAAAATGGGGTTTTTCCATATTTATTTCCTTGTTCCGACGTGTCTGCGTTCCCGTGTCCGTACTACATAGTTTTTAAGTGATAATATTCAACAATAAAATTGGACGCATTCCCAAAATTTCTTAAATATTAATATTGTACGTTACAAAAATTAATTAAGTGTACTTGTTTTTGGTTGAGAGAACGACTCATGTCTTTGCTTGTCTCTGTTGGATCCAATCCATCAAATATTCAATCCCTTACATGACACGTCATCCGCCAGATTCAGCACCCTTCTTTTTCCTACGTGGAATTTTCATATTTTAAATCCTTTACATTTATATTAATAATAATAAGTCACACACTAGTTTGTTTTTATTTTATTTTTTCGCAATTATAATTTATGTGGTTGCAAAAAATTATAAAATGGTGACTGCATCAGCCATAACCAATCCACTCTCCTATATATAAAATCTATATTTCAAATTATTGTTTTAAAATTAAATATTATGACCTTAATAAAAAGAATTATCGTTCATAAATTCTGCATTAAATTTATTCTTCTGTGCGTGTAATGTCGTGTAGCATGTCCCTCCTATATTTTATAATTATAAATTCCTTATTAATTACTGCACAATAATCAAAATTAAGGATTAAAAAAAATAAATTGTTTAGGATTAAAATATAAAAGGAAGGGTTCAAATTTTGAAAAGTCGCATTTTCCAAGAGATGCTTTTTAATTGTTTATTTATGGGATTTAGTAACGTTTTCTTGAATCTCTGATCTGGTCAATTTCATAAGAGACCACGTTTTTTAACTTTTCTTTTTTCTTTTTTTCTTTTTTGCAAAAAAAAAAAAAAAAAAAAAAAAACACACACACACACCTACAATAAATGTGAGTAGTTAAAGTACGGATTATACTATGCTACGCTGGGTGAAATTTATCGAGTAGGTCTTTACTACTCATATACTGATCTACATACAAACACACACATACACATACACACCAACATTGGTGTGTGTGAATGAACGATAAAAATCCATTGAATATAACTTTCACTGGGTGTAGCATAGTAAAAAATATAATCGTGATTCAGTTTCGAAAAAAGAGAAATAAATAGTGAAGACTAAAAAAACTGACTCTGGTTATCATTTATGTTGTCTCTGTGCTCTAACTTCTAGTCAGAATCTTTGGACAAACTTTCTAAGTGGTCCAATTGAATAAATCAATCAAATAAATTGAATCCATACAACATTAAATTCATGAAACTTTCAACAAAACGTTCATTTTTTTGAATAATCCAAATTATGAAATAAGATTTCCAATAAATCAAACATTAAATAAGATTTCATTATTTAATTAATCGTCGAAAAAATTACCAATCAAAATTACATAAATGTACATAAATTGTTAATTATATTAAATAACATTCATTTCAATATAAAAACCCAAAATTACCCTTTACGCATTAAAAAAAATATAAATTACGGTTTTCTTCGTTAAATACTCTAAAGTGACACGTAATAGGAAAACATGACTGAGAAAAGTGATTTTGTAGAAGAAAAAAGGGGGAGAAATTCAAATTAAAGAGTCATTAATAATTTCTCTAGTATATCAAATGATGAAATCATTTTTCTTAATGGAGCCGGTTTAATGAGTCACGACCGAGGTAAGTCACCTAACTCGGTCTATCTTTTGACTTTAATAAAAAATGTCGGTCTAATGGGGGTGAGATTTCAATAAATGAAGTATCATCAAATTCACCCCCCTAATTTCTTCCCACCTAAAATTAAAACACGACTTGGCTATGTCTACAAAATTGAATCATAAAACCTCCACTTTTGACTTTGTAAGATAAATCACAACCACATTCTTGTGATAAAGTGTAATTACAAATAAACCCATACTTTTTGAGAAATTATAATTAATCTTCTGTTGTTTGTAAACTTTATTCATCCACTCTCTGCAAAATGATGTTAACGTAAGAAATCGACAAACTGCAGACGTGGATGTAATTATTGAAAAATGAGGGGTTTTTGTAAATAAACCTTACCTGAGGAGCAGTTTGTAATTTACACAAAAGAAAATGTTGCATTATCCAACAAAATGGGGCACCCTCTACATACAACTTCAAATTGGATCTTTTAACTTAAATTCGTATTTATATACAACATGTCGATTTCAAGAAAAAAAGAAGAAAAAAATACACCTAGTCTAGTTTTGAGGGGAAATTAGGTACATATTGATGGTGCCATTTCATTAAGATATGAGGAAAAAGGTAAAATTGAAATGTATATGTGATGTTAGAAGTAGTTACAAAATTTGTCATAAAACATTTATGTCAATACCTTCCACTGCACAACCATGTGATGATTCTCATACACAACACATAACTAAATACGGTTTAAAATTCTATTAAATTCAGCAAAATATTAAATTATCGAACTAATAGTTTAATTTATTTTCACCTAGTTAGGATCGGGGAAAAATATTATCTAAGCGAGATAAATTATTAATTTATCGAAATTCTACTGCAGATACCGATAATGATTTTGTATGATAGAAAATTAAGTGGCTATCTTTTGATGCTACAACATTGACCAAATCTTTTTATTTGATGTACACGGATTATTGTTGTGCATGGGGTAAGTTATTCAAATGAACCATTGACTTATCAAGAAGATATTCTAGGTAAGTATTTGAAATTTTTGCCTCTGATATTAAATTCAGAACAAAGATTATTATAAAGTAAATTGTTTGACTATATGGATCATTTATTTGTGAAAACGATATTTGAAACACGATTATTCTTATGCTACAACCAGTGTATTTTTACCGTTGATCTATGCAGCCAACGTGGGGGTGTGGTGTATATAAGTGGCAAAGATCTATCCCGTGTATTTAATTTATTCGGTATAGCATAGTATAAACCAATACTAATACGGTTCTAGTTTTACTAGGCGTTCGCCGAGAACTCGCCACGTACTCAAAGTTGATTTTTTTTTTTTGGAATTATTATTATTTTTTTGTATAATTAATAGAGAAATGTATGCATTATTATTTTTTGAAAATGTATGCATTTGGTTGTGTAACTGGTTTGAAAGGAAATAAAATGGGATTGATCTATAAAATTTCCTCTATTGGGCCGCATACTAAAGCCCAATGGATTACTAATTCTCGGTACCTCGCAATTGGGCTACAAAAAGAGTATGCAAATTAGATGGCCCAATGGGCGAAGGACACGTCATCAATAGTTTGATTATTGTCTTGCATGGTTTTCTTGTTAAAGAATCAGCAAAGCCAAGTGTATAAGTTGCCTAAGAAGAAAGAAAGCAAACAGAGAATCACTTAATGCAACTTTTGGAAGCCATGCTTTTCCATACTCAAAACAGCTTATAATCATATTTATTCTCTTTTCATCCATCTTTTCTATTTCTCACAATATTTCAACTTCTTGATCCTTCTTTTCCTACATAACTCATATTGGATAATAATAGGAGTTTTCAAAAAAAAAAATTAATAAATAAAAAATAAAAAATCATGTCTTTGAGCCCTCCAAATGCAACAAGTGGTAATGGAAATAGACACTTTAACCTCTATTGGTGTTACCATTGCCATCGAATAGTCCGAATTGCATCTCGCGATCCCTCCGAAGTCATTTGTCCTCGTTGCTTCGGCCACTTCCTCTACGAAATCGACATGGCAAGGCCTCGGCCCGTTCTCGAATTCACTGCGTTCGATCCCTCCCCCGAGGCCCGTATTCTAGAAGCACTTGCCCTAATCCTTGATCCACCGCTCGGATTGCGTAATCGAAGGGGAGAACCATCCGGAGCTAACCGGGCGCCACGTTCGGGCTTGGTAAGGACCCGTGGGCGGGGGAGGTGGTTTCAGCCGAGGAGGCGGCGGAACAATTTGTTCGATGAGGACGACGATGATGAGTGGGGCCCGGAAAGTGGGATTTTGGCCCGACCCAGAACGTGGATCATCGTCGGACCAACGGGCCCGACTCGGGCGGGGCCGGGCCCACCTCGGGAGAGACCGGTCCCACCCAGCGTGGACCCTCGAGACTACTTCGCTGGGCCGGGACTGGAAGGGCTCATCGAGGAACTAACACAAGAAGATAGGCCCGGCCCGCCACCTGCGCCCGATTGGGCGATCGATGCCCTTCCGACGATTAAAATCAGGTCGGCCCATTTGGAAACGGGCCCGGAATGCCCCGTTTGTAAGGAGGAGTTAACGGTTGGGATGGAAGCGAGGGAGCTACCGTGCGGCCACGTGTACCATTCCAATTGCATCGTCCCGTGGCTGAGGCTCCACAATTCTTGTCCAGTCTGCCGCCAAGAACTCGCCGTTAATCAATGCGGAGATCATCGAGAAAGCGATTCCGACGAGTCTCACGGAGGCAGGGATCAGCGGTGCTGGCGGCTGGCCAATATGTGGCCCTTTCGGTCGAGGTATCGGCCACTCGACTCGCACGGAGAAGGGCCAGCTGCCTCTTCACAGCACCACGGTGAGCATTAAACTTGTGTGTATACATTAGGGCTTCGTGCATGGCAACCAAACGAGCCCCTAACTACGTATAAAAACGAACGAAGACGAAATATATATAGATATATGTTGGATGAAACAATGTAAATAACACCAATATTTTTATCCTATGTTGTAATAACTAAGCTCTATTTGATTGTTTTAATTAGGAGCGGATACATGGAGGTGCAGTATTCTCTAAAGCTAGTGCTGACAATTGGGCCGTGAGTCGAGTCTGGGTCGACTCAAATTCATATACTATTGGGTCGACTCAAACTCATATATCATCGGATCTTGTTATTTTAGGCTCAAGCTCAAATATCGTTTGGCCTCATTTTTATAGGCTCAAACTCCACTCACGTATTTTTCGAATTTCGGGTTTATATCAAACTTATATCGGTCAATAAATAAATTATATATTTTACAACTTTACAGTCGAACATGTTAAAAAAATAAAAAAAAAACAAACAACAAACCATCTAAGAGGAAAATCTAGAATATTCATGGAAATTAAAATAAGATAAAAATAGGGGGCTATTTGTTAAACACCCTCCATTGAGATTTTACTTCTTGACAAATTATTAATTTGTAATTGATATTTAACATAAACCCATTGAGCCTAAGAAACCTTATATGCCCCCACTAATTAGTATAATTATTTTAAATAAAAAATACGGTTAATTAAATGCAGAATCCCTTTCAAAATCGCATTACCTAAAAATCCTCCTAATACTTCTTTCCCCAAAATCCTCCCAATATTTCTCCATCTCTTCACAAATCTCGCCCCAACTTTCTCAGTATCTCGAAAATTCATTTTATCTTTTTTCTCTTGATCTCCAAATATTGCATCAATAGCTTCACGTTTTGCGTAAGAAAATCTACTATTATTTTCGGACAAAAACTTCTTCTCTTTAGGGCAAACAACATACATATATTGGTTTAACATCGCACAAGTTTTTTCAGTAAAAAAATGACGTATATGACAGTGGAAATGGCAAAATTCACTTTGCGCAATAGTGGATTCAATAATATGGGAAGGTCAAAATCCATGGATTTAATAAGGGAAGGTAAGCATAAAGCACTTTGCGCGCGAAAACCACTTTGTACGTGAAAACCACTTTGTGTACAAAAATCACTCTGCGTGCATAAACCACTCTTACATTTGTTTAAGCATCAACACAACGTGTACAGTGCACCAGACACATATAAATCTTATATATATCAACAAAACGTGTACATAGTACATACACATACAAATTACTGTCCAACGTAAATCAATACAAAACCTCACATATAACTCATCTTAAATTCTCATGTGAACCGAAACCCACCATGTGAGTCTGCACCGCCGCCATTTATTCAAATGACACAAACAGATTATTATTTATGTGAGTTACAATTTCGATTCCACATAAACGAAAATGTGCAATCAATAAGCGTTAATGGTGGAATTAATTGAAAAAGTGTTCATTAAAATATTTATGTAGAAGATATTGTGTATCTTCTTTAATAACAGATATTAAAAACACGTGTATTAATTACTTATGGGCATAATACTGATAATTAAGGATTTTTAATTAATAAAAACTCCTTTCGATTTATCTTAAAAATGAAAAATAAATTTGGGCCTAATGTAATGACCCTTGTGTAATTAGGGGGTTTTATCGAATTATCCCTAAAAAAAAAACCATAGTGTGTTCATTAAAACAAATGAAGTTTAATGTTGCAAATTAATCTTAATTAATTAGGGTTTTTTGTACATAAGTCCAACCATCTTTACTATTCTAGATTCACGGGCTATATATCTTTCGCCAATAAGCTCATTCCTTTAATATGTATTATAAATAAAGAAAATATTAATAATATGACAAAATTACCCCCAACCCTTTACACTCATTCTTAACTGTAACCCAATTTAATCAATTTTGACCACCAAAATCCAATTTTGTCTTCTTATTTTTTTTTATGAAATTATTTTTTTGCCACTGGTTTCCGACGTTGATTGGCGGTGAATTTTTCGATTTTTTTTCCAAGTCTGCTTTTTTCGCCGCCGCTTTCAGGCGTTGACCGCGGTCTCCAGCGTTGATTTTTTTGGGTTTTTTTTTCCTGTTTTTTTCCGCCGCCGATTTCCGGTGTTGACTTTTTTTAGTGATATTTTTTTCCCCCAAAATTTTTTATCCGTTTTTCATCTCTACCGCTAAACGTTGACCGTAATTGTACTATCATTAGCAGTAATTATATTGTCACTGACAATACATTAACGTAATTATATTGTCGTTGATAGTACATTAACGTAATTATACTGTCGTTGACAGTACAATTAGAGTCAACGACAGTAGAACCCTTCGATTAGTTCAAGATTTGATTCTAATTGCATGGTTGTCGCTAAAATCTGCTAGTTACTTGGTCTATTTATAGCAGTGTTCTAAAAATCGGTCGAGGTTGTTGATTAATCGGTCTCCGAGGTGGAGGCGCTCCAAAACCTTTACGATTTTAGTGTAAATGTTTGAAAAATCGGTTGTTTGCCGGCGAGGCGGTTTTAGGCGGTCCGAGACGGTCAAACCTTTAAAGCGGGTCAAATTCGGTGGCAAAAACCGGCCAAAAATCAGTCAAAATTGATTTTTTTTTTCATACTAAGTCACGGATTTCTTCAAATCTTCATTTCCTCCGTTCACTGGTAAAACTCATTTACTGATTTTCTTTTTTACGAGAACGGTTATTCCGTGCCAATTATGAACATAAATGGAAACAATTTTCATGATATGTGTTCTGTTTTGTTCTTTAATGCCATTCCTTGTAAGTTGTAACTGTTACTCTTAATTTAGATTAGGTTTTGTGTTTTAATTCTGTATGTGGTTTATTTCCTTGAAGAACTTTTGGGGATTAGCTATAATTTATTTTTCTGTGATTTTTGTTAGGGTTTAGTGATTTGTTATGGTCAGATGCTTAATATGGAGATCCTTTCAGTAATAGAGATGTGTATATCATATAATAAAATGAAGTTGATAATGAAAATAATTTGTCATATGCTATTCAGCACATTGATGACCACTAACTAAACAAATTGCTACGACTATGGATTATTTGGTTGAAAAATACGAAGAAAGACTGAAGTGTTAAATGTGTGTTTCTACTAAAATATCACTTCAAAGAAAGAATTCGAGGGCACTTACGTTCTCTTCAAATCTTTGTAAAAAAAAGTATAATAATTATGTCTAATTTACTTTTGTTCCTATGATCCGTTCTGCTGCATTCTTGATACTTTATGATGCCTTCAATGAAAGAATTCTTCAATGAAAGAATTCTTTGGCACGTACGTTCTCTCAAAAAATATTCAGAATGCTATATTTTTGTCTTTTCTGTTTGTAGGTACAATGCAATCCTCGAGCAATAGAACAGAGGAACTGGAGTCGGATGACCGTTTTTACATTGCAAATAAGTTACCTAAGAAACGAGCGGTAGCGTTCGTTTTCATAATTTTCCTGTCCGTACTAGAAATTGAGGAATCGGTTCTCTTTATACTATTTTTGTTGTCCGTATATGCAATGTTTTCAATAGTTATTAGTTTTGGTAAAACCCTTCGGTTGAAACTAGAACTTCTAGTTTCAATCGTAGAAGTAGTAGAAACAATATGGGTTGTGACTCGCACGGAGATGGGCCAGCCCTTATTGGACACTTGGTATCGGCCACTTGACTCGCACGGAGATGGGATGGGCCAGCCTAGCTCAATCAAGAATATATATGCCCTTATTGGACACTTGGTATCGGCCACTTGACTCGCACGGAGATGGGATGGGCCAGCCTAGCTCAATCAAGAATATATATAGTTGTATGCATTAGGGCTTCGTCTCAACCAAACGAGGTCCTTGCGTTTTGTTTTATTTCATTTCATCTTCCAAATGAATGCGTTTTGTTTTATTTCATTTCATCTTCCAAATGAATGGTGTCGATTGATTTAATTTTAGAGTCAAAAGTAGTTCTCTAGATTACTCCATAAAAGTTCTAGGTATATTAAAAAATATACGAAAGTTTTTTAGAATGTGCATATATATAAAGTTATGAAATCATTCCTAATTCTAATGGATCTCGGAATTGGGAACACCCACACGTGATTCATAATTTTTGTTCGTTTACGTCGAATTAAGCATGTAGAACAAATAAATAAAAATTCCAAAATGCACCAAAAAAAGTTCATAATCACTTTGGAAAAGCGTTTCCAAACACAACTAACTTAGATTTATTCGAAACTCAATAAATATAATATAATAAGGATATATATATAATCATATAAGTGCTCAAATATTTAAAAGGTCTCAACTAAACTAAGAAAGTGTCATACAGCAGTCCAAGAACAGGTTACTAAAATAATTGAAAAAAATGTTATAGGGATAAGAATTCGAGGTCAAACAGCTTTTTCTCCGATATTTGCTTCGGTATATGTCTTCGATGAATGTCAATAATATTACATTCTCTTCGGCTGATGATGAATACCAGCCTTGAAGCCTTCTGTGTATGCCGTGTTCTTGAACATTGTCTGCAATAAATTTACATGTCAATGAAAATCAATTCAAAAAAAAAATTGAAACGAAGGTAGAGAAATATAAGTAAAACTATATGTCGACTATTAATCAAGTGCGCGTCGAGTATTTTATTACTCACAGCAATGCTCTTCAACTCCACTCTGAGTTTAGTAGCAAGTTGTTCCCGGTATTTCTCTGCGTTCTCCTCTTTAATCTAATTATCAAACAATCGAACAAAATCGTCTGATTTCAGTGAGACATTTTTTGAACTAATAATAGATTCCGAAATTGCAATATTTTACAAACCTCTGAGAAAAACATGGATTTTGTCTTCTCCAAAATTTCTTCAACAAATTTATCAGGGTCGGCGTAGGAGAGCGGTGAGTTGACAGCACTAGACGATATCTCTTTTGTAGAAACATTTGACGGTTTTACATCTTTTGCCACTAATCAAATATCATAAATTTTACATAAAATCATGTTTTCGTCAATCACAAAACACTATCATTATCCAAAAATATAAAAATAACTGAAAGTATACCTTTAACAGTTGTTGGTTGATTGTTGACAGAGATACCATTCAGTTTCTCTAGAAGTTCAACCGAGACTGTTGCATCAGACGGAACGAGAGTAGCTAGATCTGGAGGTTGATCCTTCCCTACTGTCGGGTTAGCCTGTGAAAGCAATTAAAAACAATTAATTTGTTGATTATAATAATAATAATAATAATGAGAACCTACTTAAACTTCCGAATAATCTCAATCTTACCTCCAGGTCAACATAAGCAGGGGTTTTCCCGATTGAATTCAGAAACTTGTCAAGATCACGAGTATTAAGAGCTGTTGAGCAGTACATATTGTGTGAGAGCGAAATCCAATCTCGCATTTTCTATAAGGCCCGTATATAATCATTTTTTGAAGTGTTCTACCGAAAAAATAAGTAATAAATCACTTACCGATTGACATGTCATTAGACAATGGATGGAAGAAACAGCATTCATGAGCTTTAAACCCTTGATCTAACAGCAAAGAAACTTGCCTTTGCAAAAGCAAAACAAAAGTAATTTTTAATTTGATATTCCTGAAGAAGTACGTAAATCGCAACAACATATATAAACACAAATCGAGACTCGAAGACCAATACCTCGCTGATTCATTCACAAGTGCAAAAGGAGTAACACAGCCTAGAGGCACCTTCAATAAAATCAAACAAAATGCAAAGAGAGATAAGCCCAACGGTAACTAGAATCGTTAACCAGCTAAAAGTAATTAAATGCAGTATCCATGTGATGCATACACGGGCGATCGAAAATTCATATACTAACAAAAGGGTTATCTAAGAATTGAAATATTTGGTAATTCATAGAAGTCCACACATAGTATATGACTACAATACAATAGTCAAATGCGATACAGTGTGAAGCAAGCAACTACGTGATACGATTCTGTCATGCGATTTTATGCAGATTCAAAGCCAATAGCCATTATGTACTTATAGTCGGGTGAATCGTTCATTATAATAATTGAAAGACATCTCATCAAATTCGATAGTCGTAAAGCAACATAAAACATATGAAAACATACCTGAAGAATTTCTCCGAGTGCTTCTTCTGGAGCCATTCTTAGACCTCCTTTCCCCAAACCGAGCCTCTGAGACAGAACTGCACAGTTCCAGTTAACAATTTATTCTCCGAAAACAAAAAAAACTTTTATTACAAAAAATACTCGATGAATATCTTAATCTATGTCAAAATACTGAAATACGGATTATTAATTCAATACCTTTCAGATCTACCTTCGTCTCCGCCAAAGCCGAGACACAGTAATATCTTTGCTTCTTATCCTGTCACAGAAGAAAGACGAAGCCTTCAAGTCAGATTTTCACACAGATATAGAAGAAAAATATCGAGATTTCATCCATACATCGACCACCTTACCTTCAAAAATAGATTTTTGCTCAGTCCACCTTTTATGTGGCCGACATATTTTGCCTGATGCGGAAGACAATGTCACTTCAAATTTCAAGAATCCGTAAAAAATAAGAAATAAATAAGAGCTTAAAAAAGACTATTTATTACCTGAGCCTCGACTGTCAAAACAACAGGATGCTCGTATTTGGAAAAATCTACTTGAAGCTCCTGAGGAAAAACCGACAACGCGATCACCATACGAACAAAAACAGTAAACACAAACAAAATTTATAAACTCTACGACCAATTTGTATCGATTATGAACTCAATCGGATAAGAATTCACAGGGTTTTCAGCTTAACTCGTACAACAATGTAGCTCAATTATGCAGGCATATACCTTATATATCCTCACAAGTACTATAAATCGATCGATTTCAACGGATACTTCTCAATTAGGTTTCTAACCAAAAAAATCAATATAATCAACTCCTACCACTCAATTAGGTTATTTCTCTCATGTTTTCGTGCAATCAGCATACCGAATAATACCGAACCAATTCAATATCAATCAAGTAGCATAACAAACACACAAAAATCTACCGTTGGTTCGAATTCAGGCAATTCATAAATCCTGTTTCGTTAACAGCAAATAGTTACGGAAAAAAAAATTAAATATTAACCTCCAAACGAGAAAGAAGTTGCTCTTTCGTGAAGCCCATCGCTTTTTAGAATTGGCCCGGAGAAAATTAAGCGCCGGAAAGATTCTCAGTGCGGCGGCGTTATAGATTTGCAGGGCTTCACAGTCGAGAATTAAGAGGAGGTAAAAAACTCGAGCGAGTTGCTTTTATAGTTTATAGTCGAATGTCGAGATTGCCCTTCATTAAAACTAAAACTGCAATTTCCATCCTTACTGAATGGCATATTCGTAATTGTTTTCAAATTTGAGGGTCTAAATATATAATTTACCGGATTTATTTTATTCTCTCCTTGTATATAAATACAGTGAGGTTTAGACGCGCGCTCAACTTAGGAAATTCCAGAAGCCGAGAATCACCGGAGAATCGCCGGAGAACCCTCTCTTCGCTCTCGCTCAAAGGCACGAATTCCTTCGAATCTGTGTTTCCTCCGTTCACTGGTAAAATCTATTAACTGATTTTTTATTTTATTTTTTTTTAAAGAAGCTTTTGGGGATTAGCTATAGTTTATTTTTGTGTGATTTTTGTTAGAGTTTATGCGTAATGTACGATGCTTAGTCAGTGTTCTGTGTTTGAGTTTTCTGCTTTGGTTTCTTCTGTTATTTTCCATTGTGGGGGTTTATGCTTTAATTGATTTTCCTTTGTTAGGGTTTATCGTAATTAGAAGATCCTTTTCAGCAATCGAAATGCAATGAAAATAATTTGTGATAATGCGAAGCAAATAGAATCTGAAATGAACTGTAGGAATTTATAATCGACGGCCGTGGATTATTTGGTAGTCGAAAAACACGAAGAAAGATTGAAAGGTTAAATCTTAAACGGTATCCAATCACTTCTATGAAAGAAATCACGGGGCACTTACGTTCTCTCCATAAATATTTAGAATGCTATTTTTTCAATATGTGGAAAAAAGATATTAATTATGTCGAATTTACGTTTTGTTTCTATGATCTGTTTCGCTGCGTTTTCTCGCTACTTTGTGAGGATAATAGTAATCATCGTTGTGCCTGAATTATATATTATTACGCTGATCCGTTTCGCTGACATTCTTTCGTGTTGTTGTACAGTTTCAAGAAAATGGCCGGACAAGGATTGCGTATCCATGTGCACAGCCACGATGACATCAGAGAGTGCACCACCCCTGCTGAAGTGTGGCGTGCAACAAAGCCAGACAGCATTGTGGAACTAGTGATCCCGTACGATGTAGATCCATCTATGAGGCAGGCGATTCTTGACAAGATCGGGGACCACCCACTCGTTTACATTCGAGATGGATCGCCCGGTGAGTTCCCACCTCGTAGGCCTGCACCAGAACCAAGGGCTGAACCGGAACTAAAGGCAAACGTATGGGCGAAGGTAATTTCTTTGATATTTCTGGTTCTGCTTATTGGGGTCTCGAACTTCAATTTCGAGGCCCCAATAATAGGTGAGGTCCCTCGTTTCCCTTGTTCTGCTCGCGTGTTGGTTGCTGTGGTTATGTGTCTCGTTGCATTGCTTTAGTGAAGAGCATTGTTCGTTATGCTGAGGAATGGTGGGGGGAAAGACGAAACGTGATGAAATGCTGTCTATATTAACGAGTAACTTGTTGATTTTACTGATAAATGTTGTGTATATCGACTAGTAGCGTACTTATGGAGCTTCTTACTAGTGTCGATTTTGCTGGTGAATATTGTCTATATTTCTGTTTGTTAATGATTTTGTATGAGCTATATTTCCGATTTTTGTTTCGCAAATCCTTGTCTCGGTTGAGATTTGTGCTTCCTATGGAGCTTCTACGTACTCGTGTTGCCTTTGCTGATGAATGCTGCCTATATTTCCGTTAGTTACTCCGATTTTGAAATTCGAAATGTTATTTATGAGTTTAATCTCAAATTTTAGGGTAAATTACAATCACCCCTGATTTATGGAATTTACGAAAAAAACCCTTCTTGTTTGGATAATTACATCTAGTCCCCTCAACTATGATTTTTTCTTACATCTCCACCCTTATGGTGTTAAATTCAACGTAATCATCTATATTTCGTGGAATGTGCTCTAGTTTGTACTCGTTTTGTGTAAAAACACAGCTTCTGATGCACCACAATCTGATATATACAAGCCAAAGAATACATTTTACGATTATCTTGCTTCAAATGTAGAGTTTGAATGGGATAAAACGGGTACATACGTGATAATATTCCATATAATCTCGAAGTTTCCACTAAATTTGAATCCGCAAGGGTGGACGTGTAAGAAGATTTATAGTTGAAGGGACTTTTTGTAATTAGCCAAACAAAAGGGGGTTTTGTCATTTAACCATATCTCAGGGGTGATTGTAATTTACCCCAAATTTTAAAAGAAACATTTTGATTGATTAAAAATGTTATTTATGATTTTCAGTTGGATTTTTAATTTTTATCCTAAATCAAATATCAAATAATATATATATTAAATTCTTGCATTTAATCAAACCATGTTATTCATCATCATTTTACACAATTAGCACCATAGGATTCCCACAAGACAAAAAAAAATCCACACATGAGATGATAGCCACAAGACTGACTAGTTTTTTCACAAGATAGTGCCACCTATTAAATTAAATAGAATTTCTTTAATTTTTTAATAAATAAATAAAAATAAAAAAAATAAAAAACTTTGATGCTTCAACCCACATGAGATGTTGCCAAAAAAAACTTGAAATTATTCTAACATCATGGGGCAGTGTCCCATGTTCACTAGATGCCTCTTCCAAAATCTGCATATCATAAATTCTGCTAAGTATCCAATTATATTTTTTATATTATAGTAGCATTAATTTATATTATATAATATAAGAAATAAATTTAAATTAAATTTAATGAAATCCAAAACCCGGAAGCATGACCCACAAAATTGTCTTGAAAAGACCAAGTACAATGTTTGAGAAACAATAATAAATGGAACCCATGCAGTACTCTTAATTTTCTCCTAAAATAGACAGCTCCATGTGCAAATATATATTTTCAAATATTACTAGAGTGACATTCGTCACTCCATCATGTGTTTGGACTTATTTCTCCGATCCACTATAAATTTATTTCAAGATCGATAAAATACATGAACTCGAGATTAATTCACTCACTGAAAAAATATTGACGAGTTCGACTTATAAACTGTGTTAATAACTACTAATCGCATATTAACTTTTGTCACTGGGACTAATTACATTGTTGGCAAATCTTTGCAAGTACTATTGATTTTTATTAGAGCAAATTACGGTCACCACTGAAGTATGCTTAAATTACGAAAATACCACATAGTACAATTACCCTTTCAATCATGCATCGTTTTACACATCCGCCGTTACAGTTTCAAATTTAACTACTAGACGATGGATTTTCCAACTTGAGCTTACCGGCAGTAATTTAGCTATTTTATTATTAGTTTGATTTTGCAAAGTTTAATACTTGACATATTTTTTTTTTCTTTTGGTGCATTTGACTTTTGACCTAAATCATTGTCCCATCTTTCAAAAAACACCACACGCATCTAGCTAGGAATTAAGTAACAAATTATCTAGAAAAAATTCAGTCCTCAAACAATTTAGCGAAATTAAATCACATTTTTGTCTCTTTTCACTATGTATTTATAAAAGATATATAATTAAATGAATTACAACATACATTAAATAAAGTACAACTCAATACTTAAATATACAGGACTTCAAAACTAAACTCAAAAATCACACAGTAAAATTAAATTTGCCTGTCTCTATATATATAAATATAAATATATCGTCAGTAATGTCTTCAAGAAATAAATCGAAGATCATCCGAAATGAATAAAATAAATATTAAACAAAAACCCCGAAAAAAATAAAATAAAATAAAATATAATATAATATAATATAATATTCGATATTCAGCAGAAGCTCCACAAGCGAATATCACCATCATCTTCGCAAGACTCCTCCGCCATTAAATTAGGATCAAAGAAAACCCCAGCACCACCCATCAGCATCTCATTGTACTTCGGGGAGTCGAAGTTGTACCACGCCGCCGCCGCCGCCGCCATGGCCGCACACTCATCAAAATGCACCTTACAATAATCATCTTCGACGTGTGGACTCGAACAATTATTCGGAGACGACGAGTGGTACGACGAAAGCGACGGCGATGGAGTGTCGTTGTAGCAGCCACCAGACGAAGACGACGATGACGGAGAAGTGTCCAGTAACCTGGGATTATTATTACTATTACCGTTACTATTACTGTTACTATTACTATTACTATTATTTGCGGCTGCAGTAGCTGCGGCTGCTGCAGAAGCAATCCTCTGTATGGATTTGGGGGAGAGGATTAAGTTATCGGGATTAGGGTTAGTGATTGTGGAGATTGGGAAATTGAGATTGGCGGAGGAGCCTTTGAGGCATAAAAGAGCGGCGTCGTAGGCTCTGGCGGCTGCTTCTGCGGTTGAGTAAGAGCCTAACCAGATTCTTGTTTTTTGATTCGGTGCCCTAATTTCTGAAACCCATGAGCCCCAGCTTCTCATTCTCACTCCTTTGTACTTCTTCTTCAATTCTTGATCTGATTTTGTTGCTGCCTTGTTGTTCTCTGTACTTGATGAAGATGGCATCTTTTTCTCTGGCTTCACCATTTTCTTGTACACTAACACAGCTGAATGTGTGTATGTATATAATGTGTGTGTGTGTGTTTTTTGGAGGAAGAAGAAGTGATTGTGAAGGAAGAGGGGGAGGTGAGGGTATTTATAGAAAGTGGAAATGTATGGGGGAATAACCTTTTTAGTCAAAGAATAGTAATAATATTGCTGACATGGCTGACAGATATTTTCCAGTTATCTGAGTTTTTTAATTTAATTTATTTTAAAGAATTAATTAATTAATTAATTAATTAAGAAAGAAAGAGAGGAAAAAAGTGGCTTCTTCACATGACAGTGACTTTTCTAAGCTGCTGCTGCAGTGCGCTGCTGCTTTCCTTTGAATGTGTACAACTATATATGCATGGTAAAAATTCTCTCTTTAATTTTAAACCTGATGAGGTTTATTCATGCCAGCATTGCTAATTAATCAGACTTTTTCTTATATATATTTATATAAAGGGTAAAAATATAGTGTATGGTGCACCACAATCTGATATTTACAAGTCAAGAAACACATCTTATATTTGATCATGTTGTTTCAAATGTGGAGCTCGAAAGGGGTAAAACGGGTACAAACTTGAGAATATTCCACGTAATATTCTAAAAGATTCCACTAAATGTGACTCCGTAATAGTAGACATGTAAGAAGATTCATAGTTGATAGATAATTGTAATTACCTAAATATGAAAGAATGTTTACGTAATTTGACGTTATCTAAGGGGTGGCCGTAATTTACCGTATTTATAAATAGGTCAGTTTTGACAGATTGAATTAAAAAGAGAAAATCTTGAAAAAGCCTTTTATTTTTTATTTTTTTTATTTTTCTTTTTTATGAATGGCAACTAATTAATAGTAGTAACATGGAGAAGTGCCATTTTTTACAAAGGCCAACACAATTTTGCTCAGAAAATAAATTAAAGGGCAGACTTTTTGGCAGTCTGTAATCACATGAGGAGGCAAATTAAATTAAATTAAATTAACCACAAATTTATTTAATTAAAAAAAGTTCTTGACTTACACCACAAGTCACACATATTAGAAAATTACTCATGCAAAAAGTAGTAAAAATTGAATCTTTTTACCCTCACTTGGAAAGGGAGTCACTTGGGCACATGGGCTTAGCCTTAAATTAATTAGATTTAAACAAACAAATCTTAGACCCGGCATTTAATAATCATAGATTATATTATATTATTATATATATTTATTTGAGTAATATATATTCTGAATATTCTAGTACTACATATACAGAATAAATAATATGTGGCTAAAAAAGAGAGAAACATAGGATTCCCTATTATATCATGAGCAGCTTCCAGGATTTTGCAGGAGTGTGTGCCTGTGCTGTGTGAATACATATAAATTATAAATTATTATGATCACAATAAATAAATAAATAAAATAAAATAAAATAATCAAGAAACAATAAAACTAAGTACGCGCAAATGGAACACTAATTAAACACAGTACGTACTATGTAAATTTGTAATATGTATAATGCCCTTTAGCTCTAGAAAGAAAAAAAAAAACAGCTGGTGCTTTTCTGTCATGCATGGAACTCCTAAAAACGCGTTTCTCTCTCTAGAAATGGGGTTATGATTAAATAAATAAAAATAAAATAAAGTTTTGCAGAATAACTGACTCATGGGGACAACAAGCTTACGCCTGAATCAATTGACTTTTTTTTTTTCTTTTTCTGTTGTTATTAATTCAAAATTTTATTTATTTAGAGCTAGGAATTCGATGCGATTCTCTTTAATTTTTTGTACACTTCAACTATAATAAGAAAAACAACGCTTTTAGGCTATGGGAAAAGCGATTTAAACACACATGAAAATATGGCTACATGCATGAATATATATTGAAGAATACATACATACATATATATATATAATTAAATTCTGAGCAGATCAGTCAATATTTAATATAAATCGAATTCCACTAATTTTTTGACATTCGACACTCTTAAGTGTTAACTTTTAATAAATCACGCTGGTTAAAATTAGGGTTAGAGGGGTTACGGGTTATGCTGGAGTTTTTTTTTTTTTTTTTCAATTATTAGAATTATAACTATATTTTTATTTAAATTATCCATATGTCAATTATTCTATGGCATCCGATTTTCCTATTAAAACAGGTCATCCAATCTAAATTTGCACCCTCTATCTATCTATATATGTATATATGATTGTATATATGTGTTGATGCCGCGTTACGTTTGAGTGAAAAAAATTCAAACAAGTTGCCTGAAATGCCTCCCAAAGATAATTAGAGATCAACTGAAATTGACAGGTAAACCATCACTCACTTTGAATTATATTTATATATATAGGTCCACACAAAGTCACAAATTATTCCAGAATATTCATAGATCAATTTAATATTAATTATCGACATAAATTTATTTATTTATTTTCTAAGTACTATGAATTTATAATGTAAATGAGTTGTTTCAGAATAGTTTATCCGTACTAATCTTTTTTCATTACCAAGAATGGTGTCTGCTCGAACGAATAGAATCCGTACGAACCTCTTGTTCCTCGTAATCGCAAGCTAATTAATTAGCATCAATATATATTAGCATGGAATCAATTCATTAATTTTCACTTATATATATATATATATATATCAAACCCTAAATTGTCAGAAATTAAGTTAATTAATTAATTAAGTACTGGTGAATTAAAGGGCTGTTTGATGAACTCTCTCTGTCTCAGGTGACTTACAGTTATGCTAATAATTAGTAATTAACTAATACTCCGTATATATTTCATTGTATTGTATTCCTCGGAAGTTTCGACGGAAATTTCGTATATCTAAAAATGTTTTTTTTTTTTAATTATTTCCTGCAATGGTTCAACGGGAATTTGGGTCTGTTTCATTATTGTGTCATTCGATCGATGTAACAATATAAAAATAGAAATAAAAATAAAGAACGAGTAACGATAAACAAGCACGAAAATCAGGTCGATCATTGGACTAATTAAACCTGGAATTTTCCAACTTCCGAGTTCCAATTTCAATTTAATTCTAATAATATATGAAACGGAATGGTCGAAAATGTTACCAATTAAATGTTAACAAACTCTCATTATAGATTGGATAATTTGTTACACCAACCAAACAAGATGTTTGTTCCTTGTTGTACGGTGAATCCCATCATGCATTGTACTCATACATATATATATATCCATTGACGTGATTTAATTTGGATTTCTCTCTATTAATTTTTTTTTAATAAATATTGTAAAAATTGATGGACGAAATTGCTGGGAAATAGGTGAGAGTTTCTATTTCAACAACCATATCTTTTAATAATTTATTTAGCCAAAAAAAAAAGGAAAAAAAAAAGGACATGTTTTTTTTGGATATATATACTATGAACTCGTGGGGGAAGGACAATCCGTACGTACGTGAGCTAGCATATTTTGATGAAAGGGCACATTGTAATAATATTAGTGTAGGCCAAAGACAGCTAATCCCTTTAGACCAAAATTAAAATCTATCCCATTTCAAATCATTAAATGTAGAAACTCTTGTTTTTCTTCAAGTTTGATAGATGGCGGAAATGAATATTCAAGTGTGTGTTGGAAAGACCTAAGAAGCATCCTATCTTATCCCATTTTCTTGAATCTCGATCCGGTTGGGGGTTAATTTGGTAATTTTAGTTACAATGTTTGTAATACGAGAAGGTCGAAGACTCTGAAGTTATAGGTTGTGCTTGGTTGCTCTTAGTAATAATAATGGTTTTGTCTCACGATTTATCCCGAACCGATCTTTAGTTTTCATCGTAGGATTGCGTTTTAAGACAATTGATCTTCAAGTATCAAACGAATTAAGTTGTTCGGCACTTAACATTCTGATATTGTGATGGGATGTTTATTCAGTATTCGACGTTAATTTCATTAAACATGTCGTTGTTCTGCTGCGGATAATATACTATTTGAACATCGAAGATGTTAGGATCAAACGCGAATTGTCATTAGACGAAAAAGTTGTATCTATATGATTTATATGCACAACTTTGTACATATAAATTATAATGATTAACTGCTTGATAGAGTACATTTTATTGTCCATGTATTAGAAACTTAAGAAAGGAATCGAAAGATTTGGAAGAGACCAGGTGAAAGTTTTATTTGATGCACTGTTTGATTATATTAACTGTTGATTTATACATAATCATACACACACTGTATGTGTACTTAGCGGGAAGTTATTCAGTACATCAACGATTAAAATCACTCGATGTATTTTACCGAGCGTAGAATTTCAGTCAAATTATGTGAATATCAAAGAGAGAGGGATGTGGGATCAAGCACGTGGGAACACAAAATTGCTGGAAAACAACAGGCACAATGTCTTAAGTCAAACACGTGCGAGCACAAATTAGTGAATCAAATATAAATATTATATTTCACTAAATTTATTGAATAGTTTATTTTATTGGGCTAATTTTTTCTATTGGGCCCGAAATTAATTGGGCTTTCAGCTTATCACCAATGTTTCAACTTTACGGGCTTATCCAAAGCCGGGCCGCTTTTGATTGACCCAATAAATAAATATATAATTATATATATATTTAATTTAATATTGATAAGTGCGATAATTATGGGATATTTTCATTAATGCAGCTAAGAAGTAAAAAACATTTGACCGGAACGCGCGTGGGTTCAACAATTCCCTGTCCGAACTGGAACATCTAGTCAACGCCACAAGGAAATCTCATTGGCCAGACGAAACCAAAACAACGTGGCGCCAATGCAGTTGTTCCTTAATCCCACTCGCACAGCCTCACGCGTCTCCACCACTCAGTACCTAAACAACAAGGCGCGTGTCCTTCACCCTCATCGTTTCTGCCAACCCTCCCCCCTAATTAGTCAATCACAATTCTAAGATCCCAACAGCGTCGGAAAAAAAATCCCCTCTACTGCTCTCCACATCAGTTACACAAATCAATTATGAAGTTGGCGGAGGCGGCGCGTTGCTTATGGCCGGTGCTAGTATTGCTTTCGGCGGCGGTTCCGGCAGCGCGTGGGATATGGTTGGATTTGCCGAGTTCGGGAACCAAATGCATTTCGGAAGAATTGCACAACCACGTCGTCGTTTTGGGTGATTACTACGCCTTCGTCGGCGAGGATTACGATGTCAATAACACTGTCACTCCCACCATCACCGTTAAGGTAAAATCATATCTTTTTTTTTTTTTAAATTAAATAAATCAAATTCTAGAATTTTCTACTGCATTTGATCGATCTAGTCACCTTAAATCTGTTAGGATTATATCCAAAAATAATAAAAATTCTACAATTAAATTTATCAACTGTTTGTATTCAGTGAATGATAAACTCATATTTTTTATTTAATTTTTTTTTTGCAGTGATTTTTTAAATTAATGTTTTTTTAATTTTAAATTGTTTACATTTATTTTGATGCCTCTGTTTAGATATGTAACAATGGAGTTTCTGGTATTAAAATTGCTAACTCTGTAAAATCCAATTGAGCAATTCTGCAATTCACAATCAAAAGTTGTGTGTGTGTGTGTCTATATATATATATATATATATATATATATATAACTTTTGATTCTGAACTGATATTAAAATCTCTACATAGTTAACGTCATCGGATTTAGCTAGTGATGAATCGCATAGCAAGTGGACTCTCGATTTTGCTCTTTGAAATTTCGGAAAAATGATTTTTTATTAGTGATACTCTTTTCGATTTTCTTCTTTAAAGACTTCGAATTGAAGATCGTATTTTTGTTTAAATATTTGTTGTAGGTGACATCACCGTATGGAAATAACCTCCATCATCAAGAAAAAGTCTCCCACGGTCAGTTTGCGTTTACGACAACCGAGAGTGGGAATTACTTGGCTTGCTTTGGGTTAGACGGTGATCAACACGGGATTAAAAAGGTCACTGTCGGTATTGACTGGAAAACCGGAATTGCTACAAAAGATTGGGACTCTGTTGCAAGAAAGGAGAAAATCGAGGTAAAAAATTATTGCATTCGAAAATTGGTAACGATAACAAATCCAAACTTTTGTTGCTAAATTCTCATAAATTCGTTATTTTTCTAAAATTGTGTTTCTTGTAGGGGCTTGAACTTGAGTTGCAGAAGCTCGAAGGAGCTGTGGATTCAATCCATGAGACTTTAATTAATATGATAAATAGGTATTTCCCGGATCCAATAGATGCTTTTTCTTTTCTTTTTCATTATACTAAAAGTTAACGAAAAATAAACATTTTTTATTTATTTATTTTTTTTTTTTGTGCAGGGACTTTGACATAAACAGAGTTAGCGAGAATACTAACGAAAGAGTGGCGTTGTATAGTATAATGTCACTTGGTCTCTGCATTATGGTTTCGGTTTTCCAATTGTTGTACTTGAAGCGATACTTCAGGCACAAGAAGCTTATCTAGACCTGGCACTCGATATTTTTTTTTTTTTAAATTCTCTATTTTATAGAAAAAACTAAACGCATAGCAAATTTTTGAAGAGAAAACGGGCTTCTCCTTCGTTTTAATGTAACAAGAGAGTGAACTCTCTCTCTCATTCGAAATGTGCCTTTAATCTTATGAGGCAAACTAATCGATATTTAAAGCCTCTAATAGTCCATCATTTTTAGCGACGATTGTTCGTTAATCTATCGTTTCTTTTCTTTGTTGGCGTATTAACTTTTTCACAAGTTGGTGCTTAAAGTTTGGTTATAGATCGTAGGTTCAAGGTATTTACCGACTGGCTACCTTGTCTTGACTATTAGTTTCATTACAAAGCCCCACATACATGTGACATTTGCAAAAGTTAAACTGGTACATAGAATCTCCAAAAACAATTGAAGACAGAAGAAAGATTAAAGTATGATTAGTCAGCTGATTAGGACATAGATTTGATATTCGAGCAGTAATTAACTGGATAATATTCTGTCCAAATCAGTTCCCATTTCCATAGAACATAATTCCATCTGCACAGCTTCGCACTAAAATATCGACGTGGATCGGATTTTTGGCCACTTTAATTAAAGTAAATTACCATCAAATTATTGCAAACTATGGTCATGAATTATAAAATTTTATTTTATTTCTTGTGAAAATAGGTTCTTGATTTTTTATCTCCCCATTTGTTGGGATATTAAACCTACTAAGTACCAACCTTAACCTACATATATAATAATATTTATAAAAAAAAAAAAGCAATATAATAGTTTCTTTAATCTAAAAATTATTTTTTCACACACAACATGTGTGTGTGTGTGTGTGTGTGTGTGTGTGTGTGTGTGTGTGTGTGTGTGTGTGTGTGTGTGTGTGTGTGTGTGTGTGTGTTTTGGTGATGTATATGATGTGATAAATTGGTATACGTAAGAGGGTTGTGTGTGGGAATTTAGAGGAAGTGGTTCTTTATGCAAATTGTGGGAATCCACCAAAAAACTCAAAGGTTGGAATCATACCATGAAACCACAAACTTTGTCTCTTTCTTTCTAGATTTGTCTCCCCTAGTGCTCTTCAATCTATGCCATGCATCATCAACCTTTATATATATATATTGCACAATTTATTAAATAATCCACAGTATTAAAAGGGCACAAAACAAGATTCTTTACATTATTTTGTTGGTATTTTCTCCACGCAACAAAAACTTGAGTAAAATAGAAAATTTCACATCTCTCTTACATTAATCTTGATAATTGTTTTCCAATCCCACATATACTCCATTAGAGCTAATTAATTTTCATCGAATTCAATAACCCTCTTGATATTGACTTATTAAGATAATGCAATATAATGATATGACACAAGCTCAATTAGCCTATTAGCCAATCACAATTTGTTGAGATATATAGTGTTCTATTAAACTATTGTTGGATTTTATCATCAATTCATGAAGATGAGTGGTTGTGATGATAAAGGATTCCGAGGGTGTGTCGTGCAAGCAACTAATTGTACATGCACGTGTATTGGCTGAGGTGGAGCTTAAGACATGCGTGTTGAAGATTTGAGGATGGAGCTAACTTCTAGCAGGATATAAAAGGAGTAATTGTCTTTAGCAAGGATTATTAGAGAGAGAAAACATCGTATGCAGAGAGAGAAAAAAGTAGAGAAATCAGAGAGAGAAGAGGAAGAAAAATAGTAGAAATTTATGGACGAAAATCTTTGTAGTTTGATCTTCTTGTTAGTTATTTTGTAAACTCTTGTTCTTATTGATTGAATAAAGATCTTGTTCATCCTCCGATTGTTTTTTGTTCTATTATAGTTGATTCATTAAATTTCAGATTAAATTTCCCATGCTAGGGTTCATGCAGAATTAGAGTTTTCTTGTTTGTTTTGATTCTCTGCATAAACTGTTCTCAACTGCGATTTGTTCTGATCGAATATTCGCGTTGAAATTAAACCATAAATTCGTCGCAACCGGCTAAAATATTATCGTACCACGGCATCTCAAGGGATGATATATATGAACAATATTATTTGATTAAGAACATGGTACAATTAAAAACAATAATACTTTTAGACCAAGACTTCATAGAGCCTTTATTTTTTATAAGAAAGTAGACTCCCATTGGTTAATCAAGAAATAAGATCTCTATTAATTAAACACAAATAATTAGTGAGAAACTGTGTGTTTAATTAGTGCCAATCAATGAATCCAAACGTCACTCGCACTAGTACTAAGAATGATTAAGAAACAATTAACCAAAAGGTAATTCCCTAATAAATGAGTTAATTAAGAGTGCCATTTACAATTAAAGTGTCCACTCACCATCCACACTCTAACAAGCACTAAACCCTAACACCATTTGGTGGTCAAAAAACATTTGCTAATAATACAACGTATGAATTCAAAAAACCTTTATTAATTTTTTTTAATGCAATTGTTTTTTTCCAATTAGTAGCAAATATTCTTGTTGATACAGCTATTGGGGCTGATGGATAAGGAATCTTAAATGGGAATCAAAAGTTAGTGCAAAACATATATATATATATATATATATATATATATATATATATATATATATATATATATATATATATATATATATATATATATATATATATATATATATATATATATATATATATATATATATATATATATTTTTCTTTTTTTATCTTTCTCTTTTTATCTCTATATATACATATATCTATATATATATATATATATATATATATATATATATATATAAATATATATTTTTTTTCATTTCCACCACTTCCTTTTTTTATTCCATTTTTTACCTTTCTCTCTCTCTTTTTTTCTTCCTTTCTTTCTCTACATTTCCTTCTTTTTTT